TTCCTCTGTAACAGTCACTATCTGATAACTTACTCTTGAAAAAAAAAGCTTAGTCACCTATATTAAACTAAACTTTAGTGGATATTTCTCTGTAACAATCACTATCTGATAACTTACTCTTGAAAAGAAAAAGCTTAATCACCTATATTAAACTAAACTAAACAAATAAAAAGCACACAGCCTAACCTTCATCCCATGTTTGAGCCCCTACGTGGACACAAATCCATGTTTCCATTGCTTTTCCCACAAGGACAGTATTTCAGAATCAGAATCAGAAATACTTTAATAATCCCAGAGGGAAATAATTTTTGTTACAGGCTCCATAAGTAAAACAAACCCTGTAATGCCAAATGTCTCATATTTGATACATACAGTTTCTAAAATGTTTTACGTTTGACTCCTTTTGCATAATTTAATGGTAAAAACTTTGCTCAAAATCCTATTGTACACAATCAGATACACCTGATAACAGGGGGCAGAAAACTACACAAAAAATAATCTTGACTTATCGCATAGTAATAAATTATTAATGTTAAAAATGTAGTTCTGCTTTCTCTAAACCAGGTGAAGCTTCACTTCAGCTCCATGGTCCTAAAACCTGGATCCATCTTCCTGAAGACGTGAGACAGAACCCGACTCTGAATGTTTAAATCCAGATGAAAACATCTGTTTAACTGTGCATGTGGAAACTGAACGTATTTGATCTGAAACCTTCACTTATTATTTTTATTTTCTTGTTTTTCTGCTTTTAAATTCTTTGTGAAGCCCTTTGAATTGCCTTGTACGCATAGTGTGCTATACAAATAAACTTGCCTTGCCTATTCCTATTGCCTATCATTTGTCCACTAGAAGACGGACATTTGCAAATACTGAAGGAATACACCTTCATTTGGCCAAATCTGTTCCAGGGAGAGAGAAGCCCAACCCACTCCCTTTAAAAGACTGGGGGTAAGTAGTTAACGCAGTAAGTTTAATGTTGATACCACTTACTAAAGAAAATAAAACACCACTACAGTTTCACTCAGCCAAAATCCTTCATCATTTTGATTAATACGCTGTTATACAGCAGGTCTGAATTTGGAAAAAAAGATCCTGGAGTGGATATTTCAGATTCAGAGTATCAACAAATCTTCTATAAATTAAGCTAACATAGCCACAAATACCCAGATTGATAGATTTTGGGTTGTAAAAATGTCTTCCCCCCGGCTGTAACTCCTTTTCAGCTTGAATCAAACAGGGCTAACGTGAATCGGGCCTTTGAGGCGGGTTCCTTTGAGACGGGGTGGGAGGAAGGGCCTTGTATTGGTGAGTATTCAGACAGAAAGACACAGCCACTGATGTTTTTGTTGCTCTCTTCTCCCTGCATGACAATGCTAATGAGAAAATGTGCTCACATAAGCAAACAGAGCTCCGGTCAAACGGCTCCGCGAGAAAACACCAGGACCCAAACAGAGCTAAACGTTAGCGATAATGGCCATAATCAGGGAAAAGGTGGATAATATATTCACAGGAGCAACAGGCTTTCAGTGGAAAACACCATAAAGTGAGACAAAAGGAGAAGAGGGATGGTGAAATGGGGCAAAGTCTGAGAGAAAAGGCAGCGAACAGGGGTCAAAGGTCAATGGAGAATACTTGAAACGAGGGGGAAGAGGCATGTATTCACTCAGTTTAACCCAGAAGTCAGCGAGCAAACCAAAACGTCTTTTCAAAATTAACAAGCCTACATCCACTTTAGCATTTTGTTTTTTTGTTGTTTTGTTTTAGCATTTTGGACATTAACTTTCATTAATAGATTCTCAAAATCTTTAAATATTGTTTCAGTCCGAATTCCTGTAAAGTTACGTAACTTACTGACAATTTTCTCCAAAAATAAACAGGTTAACAGTCAGCTATATGTTTATTTATGTAACCCGGTGAGTCACTTGTGAGTTTACGTCCTGTTTTTGAGAAAATAGAAATAGAAAATAGAAAAATAGAAACATCAGAGGCCTTTGAGGACATCG